AACTAGATCTTCTTTTAAATTTTAATGAAAATTTACTTCCTTTCCCCCCCACCCCACTCCTATCCCGCCCCCAGCCCCCAGCTCTGAGGCAGGATGTCTTGTAGCCCAGACTGACCTTGAACTCCTTGTACTGAGCGTGACTTCTGTGTGCTAGGATTATAGGTGTGCACTTCCATGCCTGGTGCGAGCAGTGCTGGGGTCCTGGTTTCTGTGTGCCCAGGGCCTTGCACGTGTTAGGCAGATATTCTGCCGCCTGAGCTGCAGCCCAGCCCTGTTTTACGTTTTGCTCACTCCTGTCTGGCTAATAGAATATCCTAGGTCTTCATATCTGCTTCTGTACTCAGTTTGTTACAATATACTGTTTGGGTTGTACTATAGTAAGAAAATTTGTCCTAACACAGAAACAGGGGAGAGAATTTCCATACCCTTTTCAGATAGTTGTTGGTATTAATTTTCATTTATATCAAAATTCAAGTGATAGTTTCCTAAAGGTTAATTGCAATGTGGAATCAGAACTCTTTCTTGCATTGTGCACTTGTAAGGGAATGAACGTAAAAGGCAAAGGATGTTTTACTGTTACTGTGAAAACAGTATAGGACCTTGGGGCCCTGAAGGGAGCTTGGAGGTAGACGTGCCCACCACTAGCCCAGACCTGTACCTTGAAGGTCTCTGATTTTGCATTCACTGTTCTAGCCATATTCTCTTGTTCTAGGGCCAAAAGGGTGTACATAGGGGTGTAGGAACAGCTTTTCGCATAACCCAAGAGGAGGAGGAGGATGAAAACAGCAAAGAAACACACAGATTCCAGAGCCTGGTGATCCTGTTCCACTTATTCTGTACCATAGTGAGAGGCCAGAAGTCCGGGTGTTAGAGTACATGTAACTTTGTATCTGTGGTCTGCCCACATACCCACTCTTCCTTACTGCAGAAGCTAGGATTGCCTTGGACTTGGTTCCTTTATTGCCTCTCTGCTTCCCTTCGTGTTGCTCACCCCAGCCTGTTTGACCTCTCTTTCCATGAGACAAGGACCAGACACCGTTCCACAGTCCTGATTTTATCCCGGGGAATTAGGCTGCTTCCTCTAAGATTTCTCCGTTGTCCCCAGGCCCTTGCACGTTATACTCTGCCAGAGCCTTCTTGTCAATTCATTTGTGCTCTGGTGCTCAAGTCACTGCTAAGCCCCACCCCAAAATGTGATCTATCATATTCAGCCTTGAGTTACTGCAACGTGAGCGTTTTGACACAATACATTATGGTAATGCACAGCACATAGAGACATTAACACTCCCGACTTTGACAGAGTACACTGTGAAGTCTTTGAAGGCACCATTACAATTTATCTTGTCACTCATGAGAAGATCCGGTTCAGCTTTAATGTAGATGAACACAGTGTGGCTTTTGTCTTATTTAATTGCTTGTGACCTTTTTAATTGCTAATTTAACAAAATACCAAAGGGTTGTATTTCAGTTAAATTAATGATTTGGGGAGGGTTCTGTGTGTTTGTTTTTAAGACATTCTGGTTCTCTCTACTTTTCACTTTGAGAAGATAAAATGTCATCTTGAGCAGAAGTGGTGTATTAATGTAAAGTTGATAGTGCGATAAGGATTTCCATATGCAAAAGGCATAATACCAAGTATCTGGCGTGTGTGTTTGGGTTCCACCTTCTCCAAGGTACAGATGTGAAAGGTTTAGACACTAACCCATTGCAGTTTTCTGGTTTCCAAACGCACTGCTAGTTCAGTGCTTCGCTTTAGTTAGCTGCCTGGAGATAAAGTGCCATTCTCTGGGCTTGTCTGCTTGTCCTGTTCTTTGTGTTCAGTAGCTGGGTCATAATTTCCTGAGGATCAAGACCCTTTGCTACCTTCTCACAGTCTGCCCTGCTGGATGAGTGAGACACATGTACACACAGAGAAGCCCTACACTCTGGTACTCCTGGGCCCACTTGAAAACTAGCAGCGGGCCTTGAAGCTACTGTTTCAGCAGATGACTTGCTTGGAGTGAGCAGCTAGAACCGGAGGGAATGCAGGACAGCACCTTCCCTGCTCCTTTGACGTTGTACCTTCCTGATCTTAAGAGCTGGCATGGCCCTGTCAGCAGGGCATGGCTCAGAACTCACTCAAGTGTAAGGAGACCCAAATCCTCAATGGGATGTGAATTTCCCTTGGCAGAGAGTAGAAGGTCAGTGTGTGAAGCATTAGTGTTGAACCAGCTCCAGCTATGAAAGTCTAAAATTAATAGGAGGAAATTGACAAGCCTTGCTGGTTATTCCATAGCTTAAGACCTTGACTAAAATCCTATCGTCTCATCTGCCCGTTATTAACATTTCAGCAAAATATAAAGTTTTCATTAATCTCCCACAGTAAAGTTAGCCATGAAAACTGGCACTTGTTTGAGCTTTTAGGACACATTAGCTGGTGTATTAAACAGAATGTGTCATTCTTCAGCAGCTTCTATAAGAAGCTAAATCAATTTCCAGCCTTATTTATGCACCACTTTATCTAAAAGCATCTGAATTATCATTTACAACTAAGATACTTTATTAGCAGCTGGCATTGAAATTGCTCAGTAAAAAAAAAAATGTATGTCACGTGTAGTAATTTTTAAATTGGTTTTAATCCAACATCATAAAATGTAAAAATCTCAAGTATGGGATTTTGTTGTTGTTTTATTTTAGTAATTGGCATTTTAACATAATGAGCTATTACTCTTTCCAAATCAAATACCTGCAATGTTTAGAAAATACCAATTAGTTACAGTTCCAGAAGCTGTGAAACTCAGGGCTAAGCTCTATCTAATGTGTTGTTCTCGGCTGAGATGGACTTTAGTGTTTAAGAAATAAAGAATGTTTTCTTGATAATTTTTACATATAAAAGTCCTAAGATAGAAATTAATACTTTTTGGCAGTTATGTTTCTATTTAAATGTAGTTTGGATAAAATAAATTACTCTACTGGACTTTCCTCCCAGCCTTCATTCTTATGTTACATTTCCCAGGAGACACTGAGGACCATAATCTGTCCCAAATCACTGGTGCTTCAAAGAATGAAAGCAGTCAACAGATGGCTCTTGCAGAGGTGGCGTGTCACTCAGGTTGTCCTGCAGTGAGATGCTCCCCCTGCACTTGCGCTGTGACTACCCTCCTGTGGCTTACGGTCTAGAGGCAGAGACACTAATGACTTCCTAGTCACTCCTGTAGAAGATCAGGGAGCCATACTAGATGGGGGGGGATTGAAGTAAAGGAAATCTCCCTTCTTGGAGCCTCATTTGACTAGGCTTTTGAGAAGGGATAGGAAGAGACTGGAAAGGACAGGAAGCAGGCAGTGTGTTCTAAGCAGGGAGGATGACATGTGCAGTGTGCTCTAAGACGGGACTGTGCCCAAGTGTATCAATGCTTCCCAAGGGACAGCCTATCACAGGAGCTGTGTTGTCCACATGAATAGCCATAGTGTTTGGAAACAGAGCATACAGTTCCTAATAACTGATTTCAGTTTTAAAGGAAAAGGAACCAACTTATTTAAAATGTCAGCATGTAGGCAAAGAAAAGCATGGATTTGTCAGGGTGCAGAGGTACCCAAAGCTCGTGCCTTCAGGCCCATGGACTTCATTCATCTGAAGAAGTTCTAGAAGTTTGCCTGTGGTTTGCCTTTATCTAGGGTAGCCTTGAGATATGGCTTAGCTTCTCACCAGTTTAAGATAGTAAATTCCAGAACCCTCCATGTTGTCATGAGGCTTACCATGAATAAAGTACTTGATATCATGGCTGACACAGATAGCAGACTACCCATTATTTATTTAGAAATTTAGTGTGAGCACACCAGTTGCCTGTGCTGTTCTTAGGAAAAAGCATAAAGATAAATAAGAAACTTCGCTGACCTTTGTGAAACTTCCACATTAGGGCAAAGAAACCACAAGCAGTTTTTCTAGTCCAAGGCTGACTACTGTTAATCATTTTCTGTACTAGATTCTTTGCATGAATGTTGATGTTTTGTGAATGTCAAAGACAGGTTTACAGAGGTCGTCACCCACCTAAGATCACACAGCAAATTAGAGGTAGAGGTGGGAGTTGAACCAGGTCTGCCCAGCTCTAGATCCAGTATATACCAGCTGTTGTAGATGTGTGTCAGAGCCACTAAAATGGATTTCAAGGAAATGGTGAAGTCTGAGCTAGCCTGGGAAAGGGGAAGATTTTAGCTGTTCTGGGGTAGAGCTGAAGGAATAGTCTAGGCCATGAACAAGACCCAGGACTGGACTTTAGAAGTGTACATCTCAGACCCTGGGGACTGACTGACTTTAGAAGTGTACATCCCAGACTCTGGGGACTGACGATTGTTTGGTGTTCCTGATGTAACCTTGAACCTAGAAGCAGTCTGCAGAGTTTGGGAGGATCTGAGAGAGGCATTATGAGGACTGATAAGAGATTGGAAAAGTTGTAGAGACCGGCTTCCTGTTTGTCACCCATGTCACGTCACATGGTGTGAGTGAGTGATGAAACCTCTAGATAAATGAACCGGAAGGTCTTGTAGTCGGATCACAGAGGCAGCCAGCCCAGCAGTCTCAATGCCAGCAGGAAGCTCCTGCGTGAGACAGGGGAAGCCGTGGAGTACAGGGCAGGGGCAGCTAAGCAGGTTGGAGATTTGGAAGGGACAGGGTTCTTCAAGGAGCATGGGTAACGTCCATAACTACCACATTCCCAGATTTTGACCAGCTCTATAGAGACCAAGCTGCTTGAGAGCAAAAACAGTGTTTCTGCTCTCTTCTCCCCACTGCCCAGCCAAGGACCTGTCTTAGAATAGGCAGTGTTTGTGGAATTAACTGTTGAATGATTAATACGTTAGCATTCTCTGTTTACTGGGATGGCATTATTAAGTCATCGCTCAGCCTTTTCTCCTCCAAATTAAATAGCCCGTATTATTTTAATTTATCCCAAAGCATTTTAACCAGACACCATTTGCCAAGCCTCATGTATCTTTATGTGTTAAACTGTTCTCTTCCTACCCAGGTTCAAGGGCAGACGGAGTTTTTGAGGAGGATTCACAAATTGACATCGCTACAGTACAGGATATGCTTAGCAGCCACCATTACAAGTCATTCAAAGTCAGCATGATCCACAGACTTCGATTCACAACTGATGTGCAGCTCGGTGAGTGCGTGAGGAGAGGCGGGGAAAGGGCAGCACTCAGGCTTGTGTGACCTGAACGACCAAAGAGGGGATGGTGAACAGCGAAACTTAAAATATATCCTTCTCCCACCAGAGGGTTCTGTCTGTCTTCTTTATGAGACAGAAGATTAAGAAGAGACTGTCCTCAACCTGGTGGACCTATGGGAAGTTTTGCGGGCCCTCTGCTCCTGGGGATGTCCTCAGAGCTCCTGGGATGCTGCTGCATACCTGTCCTTACTCCCCAAGTTCACAGCTTCCTTGTTCAGGAAGCTTCTCAGTGATCTCAGAGGTTATTTTGGGGTCTCACTAGAAAACCCAGTACTCACTTTCAACAAGTGTCTGGGCTTGATTTGTTCTGATGAAGCACTAAGTTTCTGCTTTTGCTTATTCCTACCAGGGATAGATAATTCACCGTAACAGTCAACATGGTATTAATACATCATAGCTGCATTGTCTAGATGTCCACTGTGTCTGAGTCACTGCTAATTGCTTCCCTTGCACGGTGTACCACCTAGAAGGTGGCAGTTTTTGCCTCCCCACTTGACAGAGGTAGTAATGAGGGACAGAGATAGCCTCATGCCCAACTTACACAGGCTACTGGTAGTGTCCTGTGGAACCCGGGTCTCACCGGGCCGTGTCCTCTGTCCCCTAACAAAGATCCCCATGCGTGGGGAGAGAAGATGCTGGGAGGACACCAAGCTCACACAGGGAGGGAGTTGAATTGTTACACTGCCGAATCTCTCTCCCATAGGTCCTTGTTTGCCTGTTGTATAAAGAGATAAAGGTTGATTCTAATTCTAACTTTGCTAAGTTTGTATTTCTTATAACAAAATCTCTGATGTTGGCATAAATCTAAATGTAGCTAATATGTCATGACCCTCCAAATGCTCCTCCAGTATTCCTGCTCAACTGTGTGTGTGTGTGTGTGTGTGTGTGTGTGTGTGTGCAGATGTGTAAACCTGTAGAGGTCAGAGGTCAACCTCAGGTGTCTTCCTTCAGTTGAGAAAGGGCCTCTGACTAACGTGAGCTCAACAATTTAGCTAGACTGGTCCTCCTGTCTCTGAAACCCCAGTACTGGCTTTTTACTTGAGTCCTGGGAATCCAAACTCAAGACTGTTATCACAAGCACTTCACAGACTGAGTCATCTCCCCAGATCCCTTCCTGGTTTTATTAACAGGAGCTTGCCATATACTGAATGTTCAGCTTTGTAGTTAAGAGATGGGCAGCTAAACCTCGCCTGGCTTCAGACAGTCACTCCCTCAGTCACTGCCATGTAATCTTAAGCAAGGCTCTCTGTCTCTCTAAGCCTTGATTCTGTCCTGTTCCAGGAGCTCAGAGCTATATAGTAAGACTCTATCTCGAAAAGAAAATTAAGAACATAAAATTGGTGAGTGCTGTATGCCCTAAGGGTGTTCGTTTCTGATGTCTCTTGTAGACAGAAAATGCAAAGACTGCCCAGAAAGAAAGAGGGTGTCTAGAGCTGTCATGAGCTCAGATAGAGCATTTGCCCAGCCTGCCCAAGTTCATTGTCTCCCTACCCCCCAAAAAGGGGTTGACTTCTGCCTGTAATTTGAATAAAAGCCCCATAGGCCCATAAAGAATGGCATTATTAGGAGGTGTGGCCTTGTTGGAGGAAGTGTGTCACTCGGGGTTGGCTTTGAGGTTTCAGGTGCTCAAGTTGGGTCCAGTGACTTGCTCTTCTTGCTGTCTGCCGATCCAGACATAGAACTCTGAGCTTTCTCTCCAGCACCATGTCTGCTGGTGTGCTACCGTGCTTCCCGCCGTGATGATAACAAACTAACCCTCAACTGTAAGACAGTGTTCCCTTATAGGAGTTGCTCCTCACAGCAGTAGAACCCTGAATAAGACAGCCTTCTCCCAAATGCTCCAGACAGGCCTGTTGGTGTATGTAGTTTCTGGAGGGGCTACATTTTTCTAGAACTCAACTTCTTGGCCCACATGGGTTCACATTACTGACTGTGGAGATTTGAGATCTGACAATAGTAAAAGGTTTCTGAGTATACAACTAAAACTTGATTCAAAAAACAATATGTAATGACTCTAAGGGGTTTGCCATGTTGGATCACCTAAGGTCACTGCAACCTTGGTTATGATACCCATAGTCTGTACTCTTCAGGGTTCCTGCTGCCACACCTCCTCATACCAACAATGTGACAGCAATAACTCAGCTCACATCTGAGCAGAGTATTACATGTTATGAATTACGACATTTTATATACATAATTTTTTTCAGACTAAAGAATGGCTCAGTGGTTAAGATCGGTTATGCTTTTCTAGAGGACCTGGTTCAGTTCCCAGCACCCATGTGGTAATTCATAGCCATCTGTAAATTCAGTTGCAGGGAATCTGACATCCTCTTTTGACCTGCACATGTGCTTACCATCTAAGTGCCCTGAGATTGTTTTGAGGCAGGGGCCGGTGTGGAACACTGAGAGGAGGTCGGTCTCCCATGTCTATGCCATGAGGAAGTTCTCAGCGATGAGTGCTGGGACCATGCACTTGTCAGTCAGCACTGAGACTGTAGGAAGAGTGGGAGACTGTAAGAAGTCACCTCCAATGCCTTTGGAAGGACAGACAGACATCATCAGTGGGTCTGGGTAGCACTGAACTTCAGGTGCCCAGGGTATCATCTTGGTACCATCATTGAATTCGATGTGCTGGCTGTAATGGCCACACCTGACAAACCCGTCCTCAGCTGTTCCTTTTTTTTTTTTTTTTTTTTTTTTGAGACAGAATCTCTTGCTGAACCTGGAGCTTGCTAACTTGGCTGTGTTCTCCAGCAGTCCAGGAATCCTTGTCTCTACCTCCTAACACTAGGAGTACAGCCATGCACTGCCACACCTGGCCTCTTCACATGGGTTCTGGAGAGTCAAACTCATGCTTGCACAGAAGCCGCTTAACCAAATGAGCTTCCTCCTCAGCCTCTGGTCTGCTTTTTCTGATGGCTTCTTCCTAGGAAATTCTATCAATAGCTTAACTGCCATCATGACAGGGTGTTCCACAGGCCCACCTGCTTTGTCTACAGTGTGAGAAACAGTGCCTGGAATGACCACAGACCCCAGGCCTCCCACTCTTCTCCAAAGGCAAAAGGACAAACTTGTGTCCACCTGGTTCTGACCGCAGATTCATCTCAAGAAAGAAAGGCCACAAAGTCTGTGGCTCTGTAGTCAGCACTGGAGTCGACTTGTTCCTTCTCTTTGCACTGCAGTGGCACCTTCCCTCTCCACCGTAGTTGTCACCATTTATAAAACTTTCCTTCTACCGATGGACCGGAGTATCTGGTCCACAGAAGCTGATTCTAAACAGTAGCTTACCCTAGCTTTGATAGATGCTGTTTTCTGTGATGCCTTTTGCCATTTCTCCTAGTCCTGGTCTTGCAGGTGTTGAACTGAGTTGCTCAGATTTGGAGATGGCTCTCCGAGCCTCACTTGTAGCCACAGTGGAGACCTGTGAGATAGAAAAGGATAAAGCCAGTGTTGCCAGTGTTCTCTCCTGGAGTGGTAGTTCTCTGAAGTGAGGCTGCAGTGACTCACAGGGTGCCCTCTGGTGGACAGTCTTGGCTCTGGGGAGCATCTGAAAAAAAAGGTCCATCAGAATGTTTGTTTCTCTTAGATACTAAGCTCAAACTTTAGCATCAAAAGTGGAAACTTCTCTGGCTACTCCTAAAGAATTTTGTGACAGTCGGATAAACTAACTACCTTGCGTATTGTGTCAGGTAATGAGTAAGTTAGTTCTTAAGTAGGTCAAGTGTCTGCTATCAAACTCTTCCTCTTTACAAAGTACATGACAACCCCCTCAACTCTCACAACACACTTGCATACAGCAATTCAGGAATTTCTTTCCTGGAGTTCAAGGCATCAGACAGCACTCTTTTTATAAGTATTCACGTGAACAGTTACATTCTGAGATCAGTAAATAATGTATTTTATCTCACCTGACTATCCAGGCTCTTTAGATCACTCCTGACACTGCTGGAGAGTCTTCCTACCCACCCACCCATCCTGTGTCAGTCAGATTTCCTGCGGCCCTGTGCTGGGTGCCTGTGGGCAGCATTTGCCCCCCATCCTCGCTTGCCCCACAGAGAGCCATCCATGGAATGGAATCCGTGGCATGAAGGCCCTCACAACAGACGGTGGAAACCTGGGGTCTGCCTTGAGGCTGCGGCTGCCTGTCTTCTGATGGTGCAGAAGGGGCCCACTCTCCAGTTACCATCTGCCATTTGCTTCTAAGGGATGAAAGACACTCAGGCTTTGCTCTGTACAATTAAAATGAGAGTCCATTTTCTCCCAATCTGTGACTGTGAAACACTAGTGGATTCTGCTAATAAAACCTATGACGAAGATGTAATTTAAGATATTAGCAAGAGGGAATGGGGGATGGCTCAATTTGTATAGTGCTCGTACACAAACATGAGGGCCTAAGTTCAACATCCAGCACCCATGTAAAAGCCAGGTCACAGTGGTATATGTATATAATCCCTGTGCTGGGGAGGCAGAGATAGGAGGAAGCCTGGGACTTTTCGGGCCGGTCTAGCTGCACCAGTGTGCTCCAGGTTCATTGTGACCCTGTCTCAAAAACTAAGGTGGAAAATGATTGGGGGAGGCATCTTGCATTGACCTCCAGCCTCCACGTGAACACACACATGCACACACACACACACAAAACAAAACAAAAAAGCAAAACAGGAAGCTGGGAATGCAGCTCTAGGAGGAACACTTGTCCGTGCTCTGTGCATGAGCCGCTCGGTTCTAGCCTTAGCACTGTGATAACGCTGGCTAATTGTAGTGAACTATCAATAAGTTAGAGGCAGCTATCATTTAGCTTGTGTTTAGTATGTATCTGGTACTTTGATAATCAGACCCTGTGTGCATTAATAGCTCGACTCACAGAACTGACATATCCAGAGTTTACCTGAGGAAACTGGGTGTAGGGAACTTACCCTGGATGCAAACCCTCCCTGTGCTAGTACTCAAGTTCAGTAACAGCTCACAGCATACAGACAACTCTCGCTACCTCATCTAATCTACTTATGTATCAACATTGTAGCCCCCTTTCCCAACTGAGAAAACTGAGGCTCGAAGGATGTGATGAGATAATAGAGCATGCGGAAAGCATGTAGCTCTTATTATTAAATAAGCTGCTAACTTGCTTTCCCTCCCATTCAGTCATCAGGATATACAGTGAGGTTTCTAGGGGATTGGGACAAAAGCCCAGTACCCAACACCAAAGCCCATCTATAGCAGCAGAGATACCTCAGCCATTCCAACCTGACTTGCACAGAGCAAGGCACTGTTTCCAGCTGTGACACCGTCCCCTCTGCTCCCTGGCTCTGGGGCAGGTGGCTGTCCTCCACTTCCCATCAGACAGTGTCAGCTACTGCACCTCTTCCTCTGTCTAGACCTGATCCTAGCTTTGACTGGTTTTGTAAGGTATTCCAAGAATGTTACATCACCTGCTTCCCCTCCCAGCAAGCCTGAAAGGTTAGCTGCCCTTAAGTATGGACCTTGCCTGCACGTATGCCAAATGGATACTATTTCCATTAACTTAACCTCCTGTGGTTGGGGTTCTGTGTGGTAGGTCTGGTGGGGGCAAGCAGACTTTGTAGACACTGAAATTAAAAGGGTCAGATGCTAGCTAGGTGTGGTAGTGCACGCCTTAATCCCAGCACTCTAAGTGCAGAGGCAGGTGGATCTCTGTGAGTTTGAAGCCAGCCTGGTCTACAGAGTGAATTCCAGGATAGCCAGGGCTACACAGAGAAACCCTGACTCAAAACGGAGCTGAGTGCCAGCAGTGATCTAGGAAGCTTATAGTATGCAATCAGTAAGTATATTTTGTAGCACCAGGAAAAAGACACCAGAAATTAAGATGAGAAACAAGGCAGGGAACCAAGATACTGCCATGATAGCACAGCTCATTATGCAATACAGAATTATAACCCTGACCATGAAACTCTGTCCTTGGTCTCATGCTGCACCTACAGGCTCAGGAGGTGTGGCAGACTCTTGCTGTGTAGCCCAGGCTGGCCTCAGAGTCTCACATTTGCCGTATTTAGAAAGTACAGAGTTCAATTTGATTTTCTCCACAGTCTCAGACCAGGAAGTCATGTGATAGCTATACCACTTGTGCTAACTTCCCTCCTTTGTCATCTGTCATGGTAGACCCTTACCACATCACCAAAAAGATGTGTTAGTCAACACAGCTGTTATTTCATCTTCTAATTAGATGCTACAAGCAAGTGTTGTACGAAAGGAGAGAAGGTTAGCACTTCCCGTAACAAGGATGGAAGAGACCCTTGGGCCTAACAACACGCATGCGTTAAAGGTAATGCCAGCTACTTCATGGCATCTAACCACTGTTTATCAATTAAGAAATTATGTTACAAAAGAAAGAAAGGAACCACAAGCAAGAACTCAAAGAAAACTTTACTCCAATGTTTTTAACTGTGCAGTAGGCACATGTAAGATGCACGTTAGCAGTACTAGACCAGCCAGTGAGAGCAGATAGCTGCAGCCAGAGCTTTGCCCCTCCTCGGCCCGTGTGGCGTTAGTAGTTCTGGGTGGCCATACATATGAACAAGACACTTCTTTCCTGTAGTTTTCAGTCTGTGGCGACATATACCATATCCGACTCCACATCCTTGGGGTCACTTAATTCAACAGTGACAATTCTGCTGCTCAGTGATTGACCTCTTGATTGTGACAGACAAGATCCAGTGTTGAGTTTAAAACTGATGATAACAGAACTACAATGGTGGCCACTGGGAAATCCTGTACACTAGAGTTTATTAACACAGTGCCTGGTTGAGGGAGGATTCTGGTGACAGCATATGTCAGGATTTACTAGCTGCTTATCTTCTCCAAGTCCTCCCCTGGAGCCTCCCTTTGAAGAATTTCTGCTCAGCAATCTGAGGTTACTCACAGCAGTGTCAAGGTTGCTTGGGTGACTGAGAAGGAATTGAACTTTAGAAAAAATGGGGGAGTGGGGGGAGGGAGATTGACCAGAACCATCTCAGTAGAAGGAGCTGAAGTAGAATTCCTGAGTTTCCTCTCAGACTGCCCTTGATAGCTCCCTGTCCTTGCAATTCAAACTCTAGTAAAGTAAGGGGCCTGTCCCTAGTAGGAATGAAAAACAGTCCTGAAAATGATCCCAGCTGACTTCAAAGACTCTCCTAGGGTGTCTACTTACCAGTAGAGTGTCTAATGCTGGACTACCTTCTCTTCACAGACAGCACTGCAGAGTGTACATAACCTCAGGTCCCCTGGAACGACCCCTCTCTGGTGCCCAGCCCTGTGCTAAATGTTGTTGTGCTGACTGGGGCAACCTGTTAGTTTTTATGCTCAGGACAACAGTCTAGTTGGGCACTCAGCCTGTCACTAGATGTGTTACTGATCACACACTGGCGCTATCAGCACTTGACTGAAGCTCCCCAATGCTTTGAGATGATGAGCTCCTTGAAGAGAGCCAGTGAGCCTGCAGCTAACACCCTCCTTTTGTTCCAAGGAAGCAGTGCTCTCCATGTTTCATGGTACTTGTGCCTCCAAATGGTTTTCTCCTCTTCTGAGGGCCTAGCATGTTGTTTGAGGGCACTTTTTATACTGTGCTGATTCCACCAGTGTATAGCAGGATGCTAGTCTGCTAAGCCCTGGCTTGGTAGTATGGAGAGATGAATTATGGTTACAGCTCTGTCATTAATGGGTGACATCAGACAAGTCATGTCCCTAGCCCTGAGCCTCAGCGTCTTCCTTTGGAGAATAAAATCCCGGGACTGAGTGATCTCTGAGGTCTCATTAAGCCCAAACAGCCTATGTGTCTGATCCTGTGTGTAAATTTAGACAAGTCTCAAAGGCTGCTCTGACTGCTCCGTGATGCTATCGATTACCACATATATTCAGCAAAATCCACTCTGGTCAAGAGTTGTTCATGGGCACTCCCAGAGGACTTTTCTGGGCTTGGGCTCCCTGGGTCTGCGTAACCTAAAGACAAGAGGATTGTGGAGCTGTATCAAAACTGCTCCAGGATTTGACAATGGTGGGTGTTTGTAGTCTCAGATTCAAAGTTGTAGGAAATTGATGCATAAACTCCACTCCTGTACAATAACCAGCAACTCGGAATAACCACGGAATATGGAGTTGCGAATACCACAGTGTTGCCAAGGTGATATTTGATTTCCCTAGAGGTGGTATTTTAGGTATGCCTATTACAGTGTGTCCTCAGAGGTAATGGGAAACTGCTTTCTGGTGTGGTCTTGATCCCAGTTTTGCAGTTTACTAACTTTTTACCTTTCTGGGGTTCATTTTTTTTTCTAGTAAATTTTCATTTTATATATATATATATATATATATACATATATATATAATCAAATACATACACACAGTGGTTTTATTGTTTAAGAATTACAATGTATTTTGATCATATTCACTCCCTCCCGTAAATCTTTCCACACTCTCCCCCACCCCCTCTTCCCACCCAGCTTCATGTCTGCATGCACTCTCCCTCCCTCCCTCCCTCCCTCCCTCCCTCCCTCTCTCCCTTCCCCTCCCTTCCTCTCTCCCTCTCTCTCATTGAGCCCAGTTTGTGTTGGCCAACTCCTGGGCATGGAGCCTTCCCTAGAGCACTTTTGACATAGCAGGTGGCACACAACTAAAGAAAACGGGTTCTCCCTCTCCGAGTCTTGGTTCATCTTTAAGAGCTGTAATAGTTTAAGATCCCCCTTACACCCAGGGGTTGACACTTTTGTTACCCCGTTTTACAGAAGGAAAATCTCAGGCTCATGGAAGAAGAAGTTCCTTTACTCAGAATACCATCAATGGGAATGCAACCCCCTAAATTCTGGTCTAAATGAATATCTAGATACGGTATAGGTGGCCATTCCCTAGCATGAGTGTCCAAATCTCCAGGTCAGAGAAATCTCTTCCAACTCAGAATGAAAGTCTTAGAAGTTACAGGAAGGGCTGGGCGGTGGTGGCACACACCTTTAATCCCAGCACTCGGGAGGCAGAGGCAGGCGGATCTCTGTGAGTTCGAGGCCAGGCTGGACGACAGCCTCCCAAACAATACAGAGAAACCCTGTCTCGTAAAACCAAAAAAAAAAAAAAAAAAAAAGAAGAAGTTGTTACAGGAAAGTTTCTGCTATTAAACTTGGTGACAGAGGTTATTGGAGGGATCCATGGTGACAGACATATTGGAACACATGACTGGACAGGCATTCTACATTTTTGTGCTTTCAAGACTAACAGAAAGCAGGTCGAAGGTATCCAGGCCTAGGGCCAAGCACATACTTGTTCATATCCTTCCTTGGCTCCCTGACTACCTAGTCCTGACCCCATCACAGGCCCCCCCAGCCCATGCCTGGCTGTCGACACTATTAGTCATTAAACATAGCAGGAGCCTATAGCCTTAGTGCCATGTGTTGGTTAGGGTCATTTGGGAAGAAGGAACTTCAATTGAGAATATATCTCTATCAGATTCGTCTGTAGGCAAGTCTGTGGGGCATGTTCTTGATAACAGCTGTTGTGGGAGAGCCCAGCTCACTATGGCAGATGACATCCCTAGGCAGCTGGTCCTATAGAAAGCAAACTAGGCAAACCAGGAGGAGCAGGCCAGTGAGCAGCACCCACCTTGGTCTCTGCTTCAGTTCCTGCCTCCAGGCTCCTCCCGTTTGAGTTCCTGTTTTGGCTTCCTACTGTGATGGACCATGGTTGAAAGAATAAGCCAAATAAACCCTTTCCTCCCGAAATTGCTTTTAGTCATGGTGTTTATCAGAACAGTAAGAAGTAGCTAATATAGTTCTCAAGCCCCAAAGATGTGAGTTAGCATCTTGTTGATCCTTTCCCAGTGTGTCCAGAGTCAAAGCTGGAGGGAGTCATGCTGAAGTTTGAACTTAGGACTTTCGGTTCCTGGTCCTGACTGCTGCCTTTAAATAGAGACAGCTTATGCTACTACCTTCAGAGACACAGGTGCTCATGAACTCATCCTCTGGATGATGGTACACAGTGCTAATTTCCTTTTATGGAAATATTTTAGTTAGTTGGAATAGACCAGGGTCCCCTCGTGATAACCCCAAACCTTGGACAAATTGTTTCCCTGGAGAGTTGTAGCTACATTAGAGTTGTGCTTTGTTTATTTTGAGCTGTCTTGTTAAGGAAGGATTTATATGCCGGTGTTGATGTAGGACAGCAATCAGGCAATGTTTTCTGCCTTTGACAGTTGGCGTGATAGTTTGCTTCCAGTGAAGTTTGACTCCCTGTATCTGGAAGCTGTCAGTGTGGGAGCATGAAAAGGTCATGACAGATGGCAACGGATAAGTGGGGAGGGAGGAGAGGGGGGCTGGAGAAGAAGACACATGGCCTCCCACACCTCTGAGGGAAGAGCTGACCCCAGCCACTCCAGGCCAGCCCTGTACTCATGCTCCTTACCTGCTTGCTATGGCTGAGACTGGGAAAGCTCTGGGTACCATGATGACTGGGGGGGCGCAGGGAGCCCAGAGCAGCCTTCCCCATGCCTCAGCCCCTTGTGTACCCGAGAGCGAGAGCGAGAGCGAGCTTCTGCAAGGAAGTGTCTCCACTTGAGGGTCACCATCCTTCTCTGCACTTTGAAATGGAAATGGTAGGGGGAACGTTAGCTTTAAGCTTTTAAAACAATGATTGTTTTGTTAAGACAGGAAGGGACATAGCTCAGCAGTAAAAGTGCTTTCCCAGTTGGCATGCCTGAGGCCTGAGTTCAGTCCCCAGCACCACAAAGTAAGTAGACAGACAGACAGACAGACAGAGAAAAATGCTATTGGGTACTGGAGAGATGGCTTGGAATTAAAAGCACTGTTTGCTTTTCCAGAGAACCCACATTTGATTCCCAGCATCCACACATCTGCTAACAGCTGCCTATAACTGCAGTTCCAGAGGATCCAGGGCCTTCTTCTGACCTCTGCAGGCACCAGGAAAATTTCCCATACACATAAAATAAAATTAAAAATTAGAAAAATACATATTGTTGGGTACATGCTTCAGCACCAGTAAAGGACAGAATTCCCCCCCCGCTAGCCAGAATTAACTCTACATTTAGAATGAGCCTTTTGAGCTCTTTCCTGGAAATGCCTACCCCACCCCATTCTGGGGATGGAATTGAGGCCCTTGTACATGTAAGGCAAGTGTTCTACCACTGAGAGCCTTTGCTAACTCCTGTATATGTATTTTTTTATTTCCTATTTAATTTGATATTGTGACATGAGAATTGTTTAAGTCAAACTTTCCTTCTGGCTGACTCTCCTGGGTTGTGCTGTGTTTTATCATGGGTGTGTTACTCCTCAGTGTAACCATTTAATTTGAAGAAATGTATATATAATGAAAACCCACTTCCCTTCTCTCTTCATATGTTTATAATTTGAGTTGCTTGAAATTGTTTTTAAAATGACATCTTAAGGAGTCTCCCCAATGTCAGAGAGATGTCACATGAAAACTTTGCCGTGAAAAGCATGCAGAAGCTGGATGGTAGTGGTGTACGCCTTTAATCCCAGCACTCAGGAGGCAGAGGCAGGCGGATCTCTGTGAGTTTGAGGCCAGCCTGGTCTACAGAGTGAGTTCCAGGACAGCCAGGGCTACACAGAGAAACCCTGTCTCAGAAAAACGAAAAGGAAGGAAGGGGGGATGGAGGGGGAGGAGAGAAGAAAGCCACATGCACACAAGTCAGAAGGGAGAGCGTGACTGAATGTTTACCATACCCTAGGTAAGGTAGAGAAGGGAGGGTTGCAAGGCTGCTTGAGCAGAGTTTCTTCTGTGTCTTCTTGACTCAAGTTTGAGCAGCCCTGAGAGCCATCTGGGAACCAGACAGTTCTGGATTTGAAGAATGACTTTCCTACTTCCAAGCTCTCTGACTTCATCAAAGATCCCCTTCCCTCAGTAGACATGTTCTATAGAAGCCAGCACAATTCCTACTGACCAGTGTAGTGCCTGAGAGAATGGGTTCTGGCACCAGACCTCCTGGCTTCAGGCCCCAGGCCACTTGTGAGCTGTGTGATCTTGGACAGGTTCCTTAGCCTTCCTGTGTTTCAGTTTCCTTATCTATAAAATAGAATGAGAGCAGAAAGGCCACCCCTTGAGGCTGCTAGAGTATACAGAGGCTCTCTGGCCTTGAAGGCACCTAGTGGACACTTTAGTGCTCAGTGTGTTAATCGGCTCTGGATAATTAATAAATGATGTGTGTGGCGGTGTCATGCCTGCTGGGCCTGAGGACACTACTCCACGTGACTCCTGGAGCTGCAGGAAGGCAGTGAGCCTGCCAGGGTCACACGTCTGCCGAAGGCCTTAAGGACAGTGAACCACAGAGAAAACATAGCAGCCACAGTCACAGGGGTCACAGGGAAGCAGAGCTGCTCTGGCCCCGCCCCCTCCTCTGTACACTTGAAAGGCTGCAGTGGCAAGTGCAGTGGGTCCAGTTGCCCTGACTGACCTCCCTGATCAGAGTCCGGTACTCCCACACCCTGCACCCTAGCTCCAGCATCTTTGTCCACAGCCAGGAGTAAACCTCCTTATGAGCCTCCCTCCAGCAGGCTTCCAGGCTTAGGCCTCCATTTGCCTCCAGGCTTAGATGTGCTCAGCTAGGTAGGGCCCTCAACAGACTGCCTCAGGGCCTCCCTCCCAGCCTGCAGTAAGAACAGCCAGGTCTATGGGGCCTCGCTTCAGCTATAGAGATTCACACGTCTCCGTCTCTGTTGTGAGGTTATTTAACGTACAAAGGGTTTTCCCATCAGGAAAGATTCCCCTACAGGTTCCTTTAAGTAGTGAGAGTTTTACAGATCATTAACTACCTGACTGAAAGCCTGCAGGGCACAGAAACTTAAAACTAAAGTGTCAGAGCCCCTGCCAATTACAGATCAATCCAAAATGAAGACAGAGTATCACTGGAACCAAGTCAGTGAGAAAATGTGATTCGATTCCTGAAAAATCTCTTGTGCATGCTGCTTTTGTGGAGCACACGGTTGTTTACGTGAGATCCACCTGTGTGCCCCTCTTGAGTCTTTCACATTCATCTCCCACATCTCCATCCCCAAGCTGCGGTCTTGGGGTCCAGTGGCAGTAACCCCAGGAAAGGGTGTCATTGGAAAGAGTTCTGTGGCCAAGTAGAGCGTAGGCAACTGATGCACAGATACAGCCGGTAATGGATGAACTATGCGCTAACAATTTGCAGATAAAAATAATGGAAGTTAAAAGTGTATTTTACATGATAAAAGAAAGATGAAAGAGGATGAGCAGTCTGTTCCATCTGAGATGGTTACAGGAATCCTGCCGTGTGAAGTAGGCTCTGTTGAAAAGATTGATGCAATGGGGAGTGACCTTGGCTTGGAGCAGGAGCTGGTGATGTATGTATGAGCATCCCTCTGCTAAATGGACCCAGATTTGTAGCACTAATATACATGGGAGCCCAGAACCAAACTCAGTATGGCAATAAATCAACAGCCACTTTGGGTGTCATTTCTGGTTTATATTCCACTATTGTTCTATCACTTTAATTCATGTCACTATCATCTTTTCATCTGGAACAGTTTTATATAATTTTCCAGTGGAGTTACCTGACAAATCCTATCAAATTAACAAGGTACATTAACAGTATTGACTCACTGCGGCTTCAGGAGTTGCATGGCCTTAGAACAAAATTTTAACCATCTCTGTCTGGTGATGATTTTTTTCTTTCTCTGTGAAAGAGGAATGTTGGGCAAGGTGTATTTCCACGTAAGAGATATGCACATTTATTTTGCTCTGTTCATTTTGGCTGTTATAAATGTCAAAATAAGAAGCAGATAAGGAGGGAAGCCCTGCACACATGAACACACACCCCGTTACCACAGTGTGCTCTCCATGAACGCTCCCCCTGTTACTACTGCCATGGCTTAAGTACTTGTCTCCTTTGGGGGAACTGTAGAGATACCCAGCTCCTTAACAGCTAATGACCACATTGGAGGCAAGGGTGTAGCGGGACAGTCATAATCTATTTCAAGTGAAATGTAATCAAATTGGTTTCCTGATGGCTTCTCAGCCTTCTGAAACCCAGAGTCAGCTGGACTGAGGACATTATTGAAATCTGTTGCTCCTGACATTTGTTCAGTGCAACCCCAGCATCCGGTTAATAAAATAAAACAAATAAAAAAACAATTGCTGGTCTCTACCAAAGATGGTACCATAGAGGTAGCAGCCCCCCCTACACACCCTGTTATCCTCAGCATCCGCATGTGACCCTCCTCCTTTGTCTAACTGGCATTGGAATGAATCTGCTCACAGAATATTACAGTGGATGGAGGGGGACAAAATGCCGTCATGGAGACTGTATTTGTTTTTATTTCCTTTTTGCATTCAGTCTGCTGCCAGGCTGTGGTGTTGTGTGTGCATGTTTTGGTTGGGGTGGGTATCAACTGAGCTAGGTTTGGGTGGGGCTGTATCCTCTTTTGAATGTTTTCTTCCAGGCCCTGCTTGTTGTTCCATTACAGTGTGTACAACTGATTATTTCAGGGGGGGGGGTATCTTGACTTCTTTTTTATTTTTTTCCATTTTGACCCTGACCTAAAAATTAATGACTTTTAAGCCTCGCAGTGGGGCTCACTCCAGAACACATGGTAAAGGGTTATGTCTTACTCCATGAGCAAATTTCTCTTTTCAGCAAAAGAGAATTTCTAGACTAGATTGAGGGTGTCAGACACACCATGTCATCTCAGAAATACCCAGAGGGGACCTTCAGTGTGTCCATCCTTACCTCAGATACGGGTGGCCCTCTGCAACTCATTTGTTCCTGGTCACTGTCCAGCATGTGCAGAGAAAATGCTGGGGTCTCTCCCTCAGCAGAGAGGCAAGGACTTCCCCCACCTGAAAGCCAGGCTTCAAGATTTGTATTTAGAAGGTTCTGTGTAAAGACACTTTGCTTCTCCTGTGACTTCCCTTAAATATTACTTAGGGAATTATTTGGTGTCACAGAGGAAAGTTCTGTCTCCTCCCTTCTATTTTTAATGTAAAAATTTTCCAGATCAGAAACTGTGTTGGTCACATAATCTATTACTGAGGGTCTTTATTAAAAAAAGATCAGAACTCTGTTTAAAAGGCCCTCTATTGTAGGTTATGTTATTATAATGCTGTTAGCAGTCAGTGGGGAAACTGTGCTGTGTCTCTATCTTATCAGAGAAAGCGCACTCCCTAATAGCTTTCCTGTGGGTTATTGCCCCACACTTCACCGCTCACTTGCTCAAGCAGCCAGACTGTGAGAGTCTCCGATGCTGTTTAGAAGCCTTGCCTGTTGGAGGACTCCCTCAAGCCCCAACAGCTCATGCTCAACCACTTTATGATTTATCCAGCTGGTCAGGTCATTACGCTAAAGTCACTGGCACCTTCCTCATTTCATGACTTCTCTTTGTGTCCCCTTGGCCTTACAGGTATCTCTGGAGACAAAGTAGAGATAGACCCTGTTACGAATCAGAAAGCCAGCACTAAGTTTTGGATTAAGCAGAAGCCCATCTCAATCGATTCTGACCTGCTCTGTGCCTGTGACCTTGCCGAGGAAAAGAGCCCCAGTGAGTAGTCCTTTATTTATATCTCCTTTTCTCGCCCCTCCTCCCTGGGTGCCGGGTGCTGGAGAATATATGGCCACCATGTCCTTTTTTCCTTGGGCCTGTTTAATTCATTACCAGAAATTTCTTTTAATCAAACCGGATCATATTCCGGTACCTAGAGCCTGGTGTGAGCCCTCATCTTGCTCCACCTTGCTGTCAGCAGAGACCCTTTCAGCCTCTTGCTGTGGGGGCTGGGTCACTAGGCGGGTCCCTGCTGGGAATTTGCATTCAGGAGAGCCCTTGATTCACTTTGTGCTCCTGTCCCTTCCCATTGGGGGAATTTGACCCATTGGCCCTAGACTGCTTTCCTTCTATGCCACACCAATGAAAGGTGGACTTCCTGTAGCAGCCACAGGCTAGACTTAGGCACTCACCATGCTGGAAGTGTCAGCACACCCACAATATTGGCAGCTATGTGACCTCTAGCTCATAACTAAACTTCTGCCTGATCCTACAGAAGAGGCCAATACACCATCCAAGCACATGCAGTTTGGGCATGTCATATTTTTGCAGTTAAGTAATTGAGTGTCACTTAATCATTTTTAGCACTGCAGCACTAGCACCAGATAAAAAGGACACATAGTTCACAGTGAAGCCGCCATGTGAAAGCCAACAGCCAGGACTTTATACATATTCTCGGTTGCCTAGGGAAAGCTGCTGCATCTCAGCATTTCCTGTTACCCAGAGCTCACCCCAGTCACTCTTGGCCTGGTAACTTAAGGTACATACTGAGCATCTAATTTGGGAACCTATGTTCCCATGTCTGTGAATTTGAGAACAAATGTTATAAGGAATTATATGTTCAGAAGGAACACTAGGGAAGGCACAGGCCAGGAGATGTTTCTAATGTGGCTTGTTTCCAAAGTCATCATGACTAAAAGGGCACCTCACAGTGCTGAGCCCCTCAGCAAGGCTGGGCACACGCCACATGCCCCACCCCCATGATCAGTGTTTAATTTCATTGTCAAATCCAGCTATGAAAAAGCTTACAGCTCAGCCTCCAGCTTGGACGGGAAGGAAAGCTTAGTGGGTAGAGAGAGACATGGGACCCTTCTTGTCCTCATACTGCTGTCCCTGCTGTCCACTGTCACCCCAGAGAGGCTCTGACTGCAGGGTGCTTGTCAAAAGAAAAGTGCTTGCTGCTTTTGGAACCTGAAGGCTACTAGACCCCTCTGCCTGAGTAAGCCTCTCCCTAATTCCACTCACCCCATCTTGGTAGCCCCCCAAAAAATGTGTTTGTCCTGGAATCTTCCTTCCTAAGCAGTGAGAACACTTTGAAGAGAAACGTTCTATAACTTGTCTCAGAAACAGCAAGTGGTCACCTGCATGTTGCATACAGACCTAACCTGGAGTGGGAGTTGTGGGAGTTATGAGGACCAGAGTTGGGCGCCCTCTCATTCACAGACACTTGCTGTCCCTAGAAGAGCCATAGCCCAGGCACTGCAAAGGTGTAGATGTCACATGCCCAGCTAGCAGGGAAGGAAGGGAAGGTTCACCGTCGCCCACCTCCCATGGTCTCAAGAGATGAGTCAGTCATGAAGTAATTACCGCACATCTGTGTTCTTGTTCCACATCCTTAGCTTAAGGGTACAGAGCAGGTAGGCCATCTTTTCACTGCTGATGTCTCTCCAGGGTCTTCGCTCTCACGGTGGGGGGACTGTTGCACTGTTCTGAAGAGAACAGCTCCCCTGCCCAGTACTCTGTTGCAATGCTTTTCAAACCATATTCTCTGAGCTCAAAGGTGGGGGGTGGGGGCAGTATTTGAGAACTCCAAATTTAGGACGTTCACAGGTGAAACTTTGTTTGTTTGTTTATTGTCTTTAAAAATATAAAGACAAGGAAGCATTCCATTCTGTGCATGCCGCAACCCTCACTCCAGTCAGGGAAGGAGCCAAAGAGGATTGCTGAGGCTTGGTGGCTTCCAGTCCACTGAGAAAAACCGTGAGCACCATGCTCAGAGGCTCACCGTAAAGTGATAGGCAGAGAGTAATACTGGAAGACGTTTGACACTTTCTTCTGACCTCCATGCACTCATGTACACAGACACACAGATACACACAGATACAATCTTTTTTAAAAGAAAAATACTTTAAAATTATAGGCTTGCAGAGCAAAGATCTGACTCCTTGACACAGCCTTTGCTACTGCTGAAATTCACTGATCATTCAGGCCAGAATTTCCCATCTAGAACTCAAGCTGGTAGGTACAGCCACACAATATATTGTGTGCTTCTGCTGTTGTGACTATCTAGGACACCCCTTCCATCCTGACCCTACTGCTATCTTGGGGACATTTCTACCTTCCCTCGTTCATTCCACTCGTTTCCATGCATTGCCTCAGGGAGTTGTATGACCTCTGGACAAATGCAATGTGCTGTGTAGTCTCCTTTCCCCCTTCTCTCCCCGCCCACAATCCCGTCCTCAGTACCCACTGATCGGCCAGCAATCCTGTCTGCGGTGAATGTTGATCAACTTGAAACTGAACTGAGTGGACCAGGATTGAGAAATAAGAAGTTGTTCCCTGTAATTCTTATAAAGTGCCCACACGAGGATGTTAATAAATGAGTCAGATCGACATTGTATGGTTTTGATTTCCAGTATCTTCACTAAATTAACTCAGTAACTGGATCTCAGCAGCCCTCCTCAGGCCCTCACCAGACCAGGGGGTTAATCTGTGGGGGCTCTGCTCTCTCTCTTTCTTTCCTTCTTGCTTTTTTCCCTAAAGGATTAATGGTAACCCTTTTTATCTTTTATGTCTGTTGAACCTTAGAAAAAAGTTATTTTAGCAGCACTAAAGAAATGAAAGTCACTATATTTCATAAGTTTAGCCTGTGATTGTTATCAGCATAGTGATGTATGTTTGTAGCTGGGTTTACATCAAAAAATTATTCTTTAGGGCTTCTTGAATGAATTATGGCAAAGAGAAAGAGTCTAGAAGTAGATAAGGTTTTTGATTTCTGCAATATATTCTCTTTTTCATGTTTTTATCTCTCATAACACAAGTGTCTTCCCAGAGACTGGAACGTGTGACCAACTGGAATAATTTAGTTGTGAAAACGGAGCAGACGTGTTATTAAGCAGCCTGCTTCACAAAAAGGCGTTGAGTGTGGGGAGGATAATGAAGCTATCCCGGTTCTTACTTGAGACATGTTTGTCAGAATTTTGAACAGAAAAGAAATGTTTTAAACCCTTCGAATACGGCCATTTTGCAGGGTTTATGGAAAAAGCTGCTGTCATACCATTCATCTGGTCGTCATAAGGAACACAGCTCGAGTTTAATTGATGCCACATCCCAAAAGTGTGTGAATAGCTGACTTGGCAAAGGGGCTGAGCGTTTGCACGGGGAAACTCTGAATTACAGACTGCAGAGACAGAGCAGCCAGGCTCCCCAGCAGCAGCTGTGTGCACTCCGCACCCTGCTTCTCTCTCTTAGGCCAGTGCCCAGAAAGAAGATTTATCACTCTGTCCCTCCGAGTGTTTAATGACTAAATAGACACAAGCCTTAAAAACACCTGCATGGATAAATACAGACTCAGAAGAATTCAGAAAATCTGTGTGGGAGCACTGAGAAATTAAGAATGAGCTCTCTCTTGATTTAGGGGAGGAAAAAGCCCTGCCTTTATTATTCAGATCGGTGTTTTCTCAATCTGGTTTACTCCTCCTTGTGCTATTTTGGAGGGTTCGAACAAACATCTTTTTTTTTTTTTTCAAGTGAATTTTAATGTCTCTTAGCAGATCCAGGCTAGACATGGATTATGGATGGTCAGCTTCTTAAAAAGCGCTAGCTTCCGTTCTAGTGCTGAATAAAACCAGAGACCTATCTGTGACATTGGAGGTTCCAAACTCCATCACTCTGAGTCTGCTCTCCTCAAAAGAATCTTGTGCAAGTTCAGGGTGTTTAGGAAGCTGCCCATCATTAGGAAATCAGATTTAAACCCTAATAAAGTAGCTGTCATCTTTATAGCTGAAAAGCGCTCTATGTCTCAGTTAAGTAGCGATGCTACTCAATCTTAAGGAAGCAGCGGAACAGAGGTAACCTGATTACGTTTCTTACAATAGTATAATTTAAAGAAGATCTGATTCTGCCGATGCTGTGGTTATATTGGTGGGAGGTGTTCTGTTTTGCTTTGCTTTGCTTTGTTTCTTTGTCCAAAACTGTTTGGACCAAATTTGGAACTCTCTAGGGTTAGGGGCTATGACCACAACTCTCGTAAGTAGAACCCCTGGGTACTAGAGTCGGATTCAGCTAAGAATTCAGGAGCTGAGTCGGCTGGGCTTATTGGTAACCTCTCATTTACATGAATCTTTCTTTTCATAAGTACTTGACAAGATCTGTAAAGTAGTGTATTTAATTTACTAATTAAATTAAAGCTACTGAATAATGATTTGTCCACATTGATTTAGCTTAAATGGAAAAGATTAGCTTTGTTGTGATCTTGAGCGGCCTTAATGGCCAAGCCAGTTAGACACAAAGGCCCCTTGTGTCTTGTGGGTCAGAGTACATAGGTAAGCCAGGCTGTGATTGAATTGCCTGAACCTCACCCTGCATCCAGCTCTCCTCTGCCTCGCATTCTATTGTTGCACTGGGCTTAAGAGAATGTTAACGCGGTAATAGGCACAGGGCCTTCCCCATTATACGCCTTGCTATCGAACGGTTCTGCATGACTAGTTAAAGAAGATGGCAAGAAGATTAATGAAAGCCAGGCTAATGCAGGGGGGTACTTCTGCAAGACTTCTACCGAAGAGATATTAGAGCTGAACCAGAGCTTGGCTTTTTCTTTATCCTGTGACCTTTGAACCTGCCTCACTGTTGAAAGCTGCCAAGGAAGTCGACATTTTGATTGATGTTGGTACACGAGTCAGTCTTTCCCATTGAATTCCACATCTGCACGAAAATAGCTTTTCCAGCAGAATTCATACTGGCTAGAGGTGATAGCCAAATTGATGGCTGAAATGCTTTTA